AGCTGTTGGCCAGCCCTGGGGACAAGCTGGAACATTTCCCCTGCTCCCCACACCCTCATCAAGATCCCAACATGTGTTATGGTTTCTGTAGATGAACAGAAGCCATATCCATTGGCAGTAGCCTGGAGAAAATAGGGCWGAGTGCCTGTGGAAATAGGTCTTGGGATCCCAAAGTAAAAAACTGGAGGAAAAAACCCTGTGAATGGGAGTGAAATGAGGTGCAAACATGGTGCAAATGTTCCTCCTTCCCTTGAGCAATTTGTTAACCTTAGACAAGAAACTTGATGTGAAACAATCACATTTTATCTCTTTAAATCCTGCATCCTAATRCAAAGAATCACAGGAAGAAATTATTGGCTTTGTCATACCAGTTGGAAAATAAAARCTGTAGGAAAGTCAGTAATGTTTTCTGGAAATCTGAGAGCAATGTAATCATTCTTCATCTCATTCATACTCTTGTTCACTCAAGGACTGGTGTGTTTGTTTTTGGACTTCTCTGGTAGACACATGGCTTGAGRTTAAAAACAACCCCAAATTCCCTGGTGGGAACACATGAGGGGTTTGGCTCASAGCTCTTTGCCACTCTCAGTGTGGGCTCTCCATGGACCTGAGCTGTGGCTGAGGAGGCTGTGCCTGGCTCTKGTGCCTTGGTCACCCTGTGTGTGGTGTTCGCCCCTGAGCATTAACCCGACACCCCGAGTTCGTACGCACAAAAATGTTGCTGTGTTCACGTCTGGGAATCATGTGCTGCCTCTGTGAGTGAGTRTATCCGATTGCATCTAATGGAGAGCCCATAAATTATAAATTTTTTGGAAGTAGGATGTTTATGGAGTGGCTGGAGCAATCTGCGGTCTGTTTTCCCAGCAGTGTCTTTGTGATGGTTGTGCCCACATCTCTGGTGGAGAGTTAGAACTGTATTTGYTGGAGGAATGCTGAACTGATCACATCCTTGTCCTTTAAGACTTCACACTGGATTTTGCCTGACTTCCTCTCAAAACTCTCCAATGAACATGAACTTGAGGCTTCTGAAGCCTAGAGGTGGTTCCTGTGGTGATTGTGGCAGGGATTGGACTACRTTGCCTTTAAAGGTCCCTTCCAAGCCAGACTATTCTGTGAGAGTCCCGTCCCCCATGTTGGTGAAAAATGTCACCATGCACTGGCACATGCTGGGGACAAACTGCTGAAAGAGTTCTGGTTAGCTTCAAGTGGAATCCTAACCAACAATGTACCCTTGAGGCAAAGGAGGTCAGTGGTGTCTAGGGGGGGTCTCCTTCTCCTTGACGCTGGTGAGGGCATGCCTGGAGTGCTGAGTCCAGTTCTGGGCTCCCCAGCGCAGGAGAGGCACAGAGCTTTTCAGTGAGCCTGATGGAGGGCAATTAATGTGCTCAAGGGACTGGCATGTCTGTGAGTGAGGAGAGTCCCAGAGAGCTTGGAGTGCTTAACTGGGAGAGGCAAGGAAGGTGAAATCGGAGTCATCTCAGTGGTGCCCRGTGGAAGGTCGAAGTGCACATCAGAATCTGGGAAACTCAACTAAATGTGAGAAAATTTCCAGTGCTGGTTTTGGAGGTGTTTCCTGAGTGGTGCTGCTGATCCTGGAGCACACGCTGTATGTTTGGTGTTCCCTGGGGGCTGTGTCAGGGCTGCCACCTCAGCTGTCAGAGCAGGCTCTGGAGCAGGGGGAAAGCTGGAGGTGGGGATCAGCTGAGGGGCTGATTTGGGACCTCCTTACTCCATCTCTCTAAGTGAGATACAGCGCTTAGGAGCACTGTGCTGCAGGMTTAGCCTGCTGCTGCCAAGCATCCCAACCTGGGCACAACTGTGGGAGCTGTGGGATGGATTCTGAGAGCTGTGGGACAGATCTGTCCTSTCACAAAGCCAGCAGTGATGTTTCTGTGCCTCTTCAAGAGTGTTTTACTTGGGTTGCATCAGCATYCCCTTTGCTTCTCATCAGCTGTTTAAACACATTCTCTAAAGCACGTTGATGTTTTGGTGCAGGAGGAGAATTCCTCAGGAATGCTTTTAATTACTGTCTGCCTTCTGGGCTTTTCAGGCAAATTCTGGGAATTTACCTTTCTTTTATTTTTAAATTGTTCCWTAGGTTTCTGCCTTTGAGGCCATGTTTAGTGCCAGTGCCCAAGGGTTGGATGTTTATAGATAGGAATTATATAGAAGAAGAGAAACAAGTTCTTATTAATTACTGCTCAGTTCTCCATCACGGCAGTCTTCTGTCCTTGTTTCATCCATCTGCTCTTGTTAGTCCATATGCTGAAGGCAGGAGAGATGCTGGCTCACAGCTGGGCTGCCATGGGGAGGAGGTGGATTGTCAGAGCTGCTGCTGAAGACTCCAAAGCATTTGTAGGTCTGTTCCTGCTCCTTCCTGTATGTCTGGATGGGGTTGGAGCCTTCTGTGAGCAATTGGGACACAGAACCATATCCAGCAGAACCAATTCCCAGGAGCTGCATTCCTGTCTGCCAGTGTGAGAGCTTCCTCAGGGTTTGTCCTTTTCCTAAGGAATCTGGCTGGTTTTTTTTTCCATAATACATTAAGAGAAACCTTTTTGCCAAGAACACAAGTAGTTTTCCAGTCCTTGTTTGCTGCTGGAGCTGGCTGCCTCCCTTGGGCCATCAGAGTCCAACAAGTGTGTTCCTTCTGCACCACAGGGTGTAATTGAGTGACCCAGTGCAAACTGGGGCTGAAAGTCATTGGAGTGAGTGGCTGCCTGTGCTCCCTGGGGGGCTGGGAAGCAGTGACTGGAGCAGTGTCCAGTGGCATTCAGGTGCTGGTCAGTGCCCATTGTCTCCACTCTTTTCTTCAGCCAGAGCAGGGYATCTGTCCATCCTGGTGACACCAGTGTCCGGTTGTCCTGCAGCTGCTCTTCATCCTTCCCYGTTCCCAAGTGTGGGGAGGTGTTCAAGTTCAATGTTGCCTTTTCCATCTCATGGATAATATTGATGTAAACTTAGAGCTGCTCYTTTTCCTTTCTCCTGATGTCTTCCTGTGCACCTCTTTATTTTTAACCTACTGCATTCAGGTTTGTTTTCCTAAGCCCTCATGACCTCCATGATATTTTGACTTTGGAGTATTTAAGACGCAGCATTGTAGGCATCCTGCATGGCCGGCCGTGACTATTGTTGTTGCCAGCTGAATAGTCCTTGGTTTTTGGCTGCTTCTTGYATTCTCACCTTTCAGTGGCTTGGAGAGGAGCCCTCCAGGCTCCCTGTTACCATTTGGTTATTTACAGCCAGACCCAGCAGCAATGTTTATTAAGTTCTTGGAGGTGGAATGCTCTGGAACAGAAATCACAACACTGCAGAGTGTCTGGAGGAAGGTTTGGTACAAATGCCTAGGTCTGTTGGTGCCTTGGGGTGGGATAATTGTCATTGTTGGTGCTGTGGTAGTTCTGCTGATTCCCCTGGGAACACAGAGTACCTTAGAAAAGTGGTTACTTCTTTATATGGGTCCACAAAGAAAGATTTGTTTGTTTTTTTCTTTTTCTCTTTTGGCTGTTCAGAGTGAATTTGCTGAGACAAAGATAAATTAAACTTGATATTTTTATGTTCCTTCAGTCTTGCATCCCTGCAAATGCTGACTGTGACAGAAGGTGGAGTGAGGAACTCGATGGTCAGTTCAGAGGACTGGGCCCATCTCTTTAGACTGGAGAAAAAGAGGCTCACCAGAGACCCTGCTCTCCACAACTCCCTGGCAGGAGGGTACAGCCAGGTGGAGATCAGACTCTGCTCCCAGGCAGCAAGCGACAGGAGGAAATAGCCTCAAGTTGTACCAGGCAAGATTTAGATTAGATATTAGGGAAAATTTCTGTACAGAAAGAGTTGTCAAGTGGTGGAATYGCCATCTCTGGAAGTGTTCAAAAACTGTGTGTATGTGTCACTGAGGACATGGTTAGTGGTACACATGATGGTGATGATGGGTTGRTGGTTGGGTGTGATGATTGTAGAGGTCTTTTCCAACTATAACAATTCTGTGGTTCTCAGACTTGCTGTGATTACCTGCTCACCAGAAGCTTTAAGTTTGGAGCCTTCATTAAGCTAGAATTGTTTACAAATTAATTGTGATGTGTAGTTTTAGAAACAGACAGTTTTTAGAGAACCAGGAGTGGCTGGGACTGTGTTCTGTTGGCGCTAAAAGTGAGGAATTGTCCATWACCTTCAGTCTKCCCACCACAGATCTGTCTGACAGGTGCTTTAGCATAGAACCACTCCAAAATGGGTGTAATTCCTTGAATTAGGGAATACACTGGAAGCTGAAAATCAATTTTTCTTCAATCCTTTTTGGTTCATTCTGCCTAATTCTCTTAGAGCTTCACCTTAGATTTATTTCATTTATATAGCTCCATCTACGTTTATTCTTGAGTAAATCTCATTGGTGATGGATCTTCTGTACCAGTTACAAACCCTGAGCAGCAGGACTTGGAGAAGTCAGCTTTTGAGCCCTGAGGTTCTTAAAATAAGTGTGAGGAGGTTGATCCCAGGAGCTGGGTCTGGAGCTCTCCTCTTCAGGAYGTGAATCCCAGAGCCTCTTCCATGGCCATGAATTGGAGCAGCTGCCTGGCAGACTCCTGGAATAAAAATTCCAACAGCACCTTCTGGTTCTAAATTGTGCCTTGTATTTTGGTAGTAAATCACTCCGGGTGAATTCACATCTGYTGAAACTAACTTAAAAATGTATTCCTGGACTGAAAAAATAGGAAAATCTCCTGTCCTTTGAGTCGACCTGAAATGCTTCTCAACACGGGGCACATGCACCTGTGGCTTATGCTGTCAGGCAGTTTGATTTATGTAGGAATTGATGTGGGTGAGTAATATTTTCTCATGCAACACTCTGATCGGGTGGAGCTGGGGCATGTAAGCAGGAGTCAGGATTCCTGYTGGACCTGGAGGGCTGATCATGTCCAGCTGGGCATTTCTCTCATTCCAGTGATCCAGAAGTACTACAAASCAGTTTGAGGAAAGTCTCTAAGAAGTCTGCTTTTCTCATTTAGGTTTGAACCATCTGTCCTTTGATCCTGCCAGCACTGAGTCCCTGCGGCTGAGCAGTGCCGCTGGCCCACGGGTTTCGGATAGTCCAGCCGAGGATGGAAGTGACCCCGGAAAGAGGAAGAGGACCAGCATTCCCCCAGGTGAGCAGGGTACCAGCTTCAGTGCTGGAAGTGGACAAGGGATCCGTGCACAGTGCCTGGAATCTGGCTGCTGTGCTGGGGCGGGCAGTAGGGCTGTGCTCTGCTCTTGCTGCAGGTCCACCGCTGTGCCTGGAGTCAACCTTGGGTTGTGGAATCTCCCCAAGGAGTACAGGGTGACAGGACAAGGGGGARTGGCTTCCCACTGCCAGAGGGCAGRGTTYRGTGGCATAYTGGGAAGGAATTTCTCCCTGTGGGGATGGGGAGGCCCTGGCACAGGTTGCCTCGAGAAGCTGTGGCTGCCCTTGGATCYCTGGAARTGTCCAAGGTCAGGCTGGACWGAGTACCCTGAGATAGTGGAAGGTGTCCCTGCCCATGGCAGGGKGTGGAACTGGGCAGGCTTTATGGTCCTTTCYAACCCAAACCCTTCTGAGATTCTCTATAACTGTCCCAGTAGGTTTATGTTTCCAYTTGGACAGAATCTTGAGATTAAAATCATGAYCATAATTAAAAGCAGCATAAGGCAGCTCAAGCTGAATGACTGCAGACATTCACATTGAAGATAATGTCATAAAAACAAAGTGTTAAATGAACTGTGTGATGTTGTAATGTCAGATCAAGGGGCCTTAAAAGGCAAACTTCAGGATGCCAGCTTCAGGATTTCTTWCAGAGGACTGGGGAAAAAAAGGGCACCTAGAATAATGTCTTTGCAGATTATATTGTGGCTGAAAACTGCAATCCTACCAGTGTATCTGGGGGAATGTGGCACCTGSTCGTGCTGTGAAGGTGAGATGCTACAGTGTGTACAGAGCAGTCTGTGGGAATTAGTTGGGTAACTTTTCCATTGGGTGATTCCAGGTGCAGAGGGGAAGGATGAGGCTGCACTTGAGTCAGAAGGATGTGCAAAACCCACGGCTGCAGAAAGAGAGGATGAAATGCAGTTGGGTAGAGAGGAGGTCCAGCTCAGTTTCTCTGGAGAGAAAAATCCTTAAAGGTGAATCTGGGACTTTACAGAAGTTTAATGGTAGTTTTGATGTGCTGACAGAGCACAGGAGAGCTCCACTGGAAATGYGGATCTGAGCCTTTTGACTCCTGTCCTTCTCATATCTCCTTTTGCCTGCTGTGTCCTGTTCCCATCTGTGTTTGAACAAACACAGGCATTTTTGCATTTGGGCATCTCTACTTAAAATCTGTGCAGACAAAAAGGACAAGTGTCTGTCAGCTGATCCATGGGAGTAGCCAGGTAAAGGTGTGTTTGACCCAGCCAAATCCCTGAAGAGGATCCAAATGTTTAATGAAGGCCCTGTTTCTGTGTAGTGCCAGTGGCTCTCCTGGATTGCCAGGTAACTGCCACACCTGGAGCCAGTAATGCTGGGTGCTAGTGGCAGTTTGACGTTATCCTTTGCTTCCTTTCCCCTTGAAATGTGGGAGAGAAGCCACTTCCAGTGGCAGTGGGAGCATTCTGCTACGACAGCTCTGTTCAGTTCAGTGTAGTCTGACAGTTTATACCTGCTGGATGTGTGTTCTTYGTTCCTGAATCTCTTGGTAGAAATGAGTGTTCCTGCAAGCCCCTTAGAGCTGTTAATTGCAGTAGGTAAACCATAACTGAGGTGCTTTAAGGTGTTTTCCTGGTCCCAGCTGCTCCAGAGGGACAGCACTGTTTGTTTTTTTTCCCATCTGGCTCTTTTCTGAGAGTGGGTTTAGGTCTGGTTTTGGGTGCTCACACTGCAGAGCCTCCCTGGGCAGAGCTGATATCTGCTCTAAGCCCTTAATCACTTTTATGTTCTTCTCAACAGATGGTGGCAGAAATCTGAGCCTGGACTCCATTCTGATGGGATTGCCAATGTCCGACCCGACYGCCTGGGCCACCGCCATGAATAACCTGGGCATGGCTCCCATGAGCATGACAGGACAGCCCCTCCTGCCTGGTGAGCCCAGCCTTTCACTCAGCTCTTTGGGAAAAATCTTTTAGTGGAACTGGATCAACACTCACCATGTACAAACTGCGTGGAGAAGCTCTTTTTAAAACGCATTAAATCTGCAAGTGCTTTATTTAGAGACCTGATTTGAGAGGAAGTGAGAACACGTGTTTTTTAATGCAAAGAATAGTTATAGTGGGGTACCTCTAGATACCCAGCAGTGGAACAGCAGGAAGAGGGTGCCACATAGAGGTCAGGAAAACAGTGATATCCAGGAACATGTTGCTCTAAACGAAACTGGAATGGCTTATAAGGAAGGATGGGAGGAAGATAAAGAGGAAAGCAACAGGGCAACAAAATGGATATGGCAGAAATTAACRGAGGGTTCTTCTGCTCCAGGAATGACCACCTTGTAGTCTGAAATACACATGTATGGGTGAGTCATCCTSTACTGGATGAAAGAGCTCCTGCAGGAGCAGAACTGAGCTGGGCCTGGTTTCTCAGCAGTGCAGGATGCTGCACATCAAAGTCCTAAATGGAACTGACTGTTCTAGTGCTTTGCAGCACTAAGAATGATGCTCTCTCCTGCCTGAAGACCTGCCTGCTCATCTGGGGAGGGAATGTCTGTATTGGCATCACTCTGCCATCCCATTTCTTCTTTTGTGGCACAGAGCAGGTGCTTTGCTGCGCAGCCAATACGTATTTAACAGCACCACTTAACTTGCCCTAAGTTTTGCCTGCAAAACTTGGAATCTGTGCTCTTGGAATCATGGAACCATGGACTTGTTTGGGTTGGGTGGACTTGACTCTCAGCAATAATAGCAGAAGTTCTCTCCTGTCCCCAAGGCCTTGTTTCACATTTGGCTTTGCTGTGGAGGTGGTGTTTCCATGTCATTCTCCTGCYCATGTGCTTCTGTGAAGTAAAAATCAACACAAGTCTATGCCATGGATAAGGATACAATTCCCATGTACTCCTACATCCATGTTTCACAGTTGAAACAGGAAGTTCTCTTGTGCCTTCCTCCAGAAATAACAGTTGATAGCAGAGGATTGGCCTCAGATCTGTGTTTTTATTGTGACTTCATTTCAAAATATCAAGGAAAATAAAATTCAGCTGTCAAACTCAAACATCCAACCAACGCACTTCATCCAGGGTGTCTTTCATCCTGGTTACTGTGAGTTGTGTTTGTGGGGAGAGGAATGCAGACTTGTCTGCCCTCCTTAGGAATGTGAGGAGCATCTGGAATGATGCCAGTGTGGGATCAAAGGAAATGCTACCTCTGCACTGTTCAGTTCTGCCTATTGTCTGTGCCAGGCACAACTCATTCAGTCATCCATATCTGAAACAGACAGCCAAGGCTTTGTGGTGCTTGGGATTGCATATTTTGTGGGATTTGGGGATTTCCCAGGTCCCCAGAGCTGTTTCTGCAAAGGGAATAGTGGTGGTAGAGTGTAGAGAAGGAGGGGGTTCTTCCTGGGATCTCACCCTGGTGGTACTGTTGGTGCTGGCTCAAACTTACCTGCTGACATTCCCAGACTCCAGAGCCTTCTCCACAAGGCTCCTGGGCTGCTATTTCCAGTTTGGTTGCCTACAGATGTTGCTCCCCCAGGCTTACAGATAAAATACCCTTCTTTTGACAGCTCTGTTTAGTTTTATTTGGCAYTGGGGGCAAATCTAGGAGGAAAATCCAAGTAAAATGCTACTTAGATATGGCAGGATATTAATTTGAGCCCAGAGACCAGTGGGCAGGGACAGTACATAGCAAGGGCTTTCTTTAAATGCTTCTGTGGGTTTGACCCAGAGTTGTTCTGGCAGGTTCTTAGCTGCTGGAATTGCTGCACTTGTCTGGTTAGTGAGATGATGCTCTGAATTCCAGAATCATTTTGCTTTAAAAGACGTCCAGGATCATTTGAGTCCAGTCTGTGACTGATCCCCACCTTGTCACCAGCCCGAGCCCAGAGCACTGAGTGCCGTGTCCAGTCATTCCTCGAACAACTGCAGGATGGGGACTCTGCTCTTCTGTGTAGAAATTTTTCTGATGCCCTTAACCCTGTATCACAGCTGCTGTGCTGCTGAGCTGCTGAATACACCCAAACTGTTCCCATTCCACAGATGTCTCTGTGGACAGACCTCTCTAGGAAGGATTTGACACTGGGTGGGAGCTGGTATCAACAGAGTGGGGAAGGAAATGGTTTAACACAGAAAAGTTACTGAACTGTGGCAGTCAACAATGAAGTAGTTTTAAAAAGTTATTTTAAGGGCACAGATCTAAAATTTGATGTTGTCACGTTCCTGATTTTCACTGGCACRCTTGGGAGCATTCCTCCTTTTGCTGTCAGAGCTCAGTCACTGTATGACTCTACCCCCGTACTTGACTCACTTATTCTCTCCCCCATTYAGATTTTGATCCTGCTCTTGGAATGATGACTGGAATCCCTCCGATCAACCCCATGATGCCAGGCTTGGGGATCGTCCCACCTCCCATCCCTCCAGACATGCCTGCCGTGAAGGAGATCATCCACTGCAAGAGCTGCACTCTCTTCCCTCCTAACCCACGTAACTATCTGCCTGTGCTGTGTCTCTAGAGGAGTATCTGTGTGTTTATGTTTATATAAACTCCATGTGTGTGAGGAAAGGGCCATTCCGGTCACTCACTGCTGGCAAAGAGGTTACAGAACAACAGGAAAAGCATGTTCTTATCACTGAGTGTTTGCTGTTTCCAGAAATAGCCTTTTCAGTAGTAAGATTGATAAGGAGTGAGGAAGAAATCCTCACTGGTATTGAAGACTTCATGGTGTGATTCTCATGTGTCTTTTGAAGGCTTAGCTTCAAAAGGTGAGGGGCTGGATCAGCCAGCATGGTCCATGCTGAGTCATGGGAATGCTCTGGAGTTTGCACAGTGCAGTGCAAGGAGAGCACAGGTAGCTGGAAATAAGGCAGAAAACTTAAAGAAACACAGTCAGGGCTCACCAGGCTATAGCARGAAACAGGGCTCCCCTTCACACCATCTGATCACCCTTTCTTCTCCCTTCTGTTGCAAAAACCAGAGCAGGGAAGATAAAAACAGAGATGATAGAGGGACACGTCTGTCACTGGCAGTGTGGATCATGTGTGTGAGGGGTAGCTTGAGCACACATGTCTGTAGCATGTGCAGTTGCAGCACAGAGACTCCCCTGTGTGTTTTTTTTTATGTTATTTCCATTAGGGCAGTTGTTYAAGCTGTGCTTTTGTAGCATCTCTGATGCTAAAGTTGGGAGCCTCTGGTGGGTGCTGCTTATGTTCCCTGACTGCAGTTCAGTGAAGCTCTTGCAATTGGGAGAGTATTTGGAGGGCTCCAGGCTCCCAAGATTTTCTATTTGGAATAAGRCTGGCGAATATTTTTATCCAGCACCTCAGCGGTGCTGTGGATCCACTCCATATAAATGAGTGTGTTTGGAGGAAGCCAYGAAGGTGTGGTCATCTCTGAGGAGAGAGCAGCAGGTGGAAGGAATGTGTGCTGGCAACCCAAAACCCGACCTACTCTGCTTTCTCTCTTTCAGATCTTCCCCCTCCGGCCACGAGAGAGAGGCCCCCAGGGTGCAAGACAGTGTTTGTTGGAGGGCTGCCGGAAAACGGGACGGAGCAAATCATCATGGAAGTGTTTGAGCARTGTGGGGAGGTCATAGCTATTCGTAAGAGCAAGAAGAACTTCTGCCACATCCGCTTTGCTGAGGAGTTCATGGTGGACAAGGCACTTTACTTGTCTGGTGAGTGTGTTTGCCTCAGGGGGAAGCTTAAAATTCGGGGACAGATATGTGATGGTGCCTTTACAGACAAAACAATAGGATTTGGGGCAGATTTCTCTGATGCTGTGTCAGTTTTTGTTCTGCTGCCATTGCATTTCTGCTTAAATGTGTGAAAACAGCTCCTGAGAGGAAAGGCAGCAATGCATTGTCACCTGAAAATGTCTGCAAAACATTGGGCTGAGGTATCCATCTTATATGGATAAATGTCCAGCTGATTCTATAGTGCCTAAAAAAATTGACAGTTGCTCTCAATTTGTTAGTTGGGCTGATGGACCTGACTCTGTGGGATCTTTTTCCTGGTGGCCATCAGAGCTGAACCCCCTGGGCTCCTTTTGCTGTGGGGCCCCAGGTGAGTCCCCTGTCGTAGCTGACCASCCATCATTCCCACCAGGCTACCGCATCCGGCTGGGCTCCAGCACGGACAAGAAGGACACGGGCCGGCTGCACGTGGACTTTGCCCAGGCACGGGATGACCTGTACGAGTGGGAGTGCAAGCAGCGCATGCTGGCGCGCGAGGAGCGGCACCGGCGGCGCCTGGCTGAGGAGCGCTTCCGCCCAGCCTCCCCGCCCCCCGTCGTCCACTACTCCGACCACGAGTGCAGCGTGGTGGCCGAGAAGCTCAAAGGTGAAAGGGCTGGGCCAGCCTTCCCTCGGGAGCTGGACAGCCACAGCTTTGTGTTTTCCAGGGCTTGTCTTGCATGCTRCAGCTCTCCTGCCATCTTCCTTCTGTCAAAACCCCTTGTTTGGCTCACCTGACCCAAACTTGGCAAGAGCATRGTTTGGACCAGATGGCCCAACACCCTGCCCAGCCCAGTCTTGAAAGCATCTGGTGTTGGGGAATCCACCACTTTCACAATGCTGCCATTGTGAAAAGTTGTCCCTATTCCACATCATCCTTTCCATGGGACTCCCTTGTAGAAAAGGAGTTTCCATCTCTGTAGCCCTCCCCAGARCACAGTGACAAGGTCTCYCCTAAATCTTACTTGCCCAAGGCTGAACAAACCTGTTGAGTACAGCAAGCTTATGCGGATCAAAACTCTTCAGTACAAGTTTCTTCCAGAAAATTTTAGTCAAGGTTGAAAGGACTAGTGTAAGTTCCAAGACCTTCTTTGAATCTAGAGATGCATGTGTGACCTGATGGTTTTGGAGCTGGAAGACATCTCCTTTCAGAAAAGGGTCCATCTGAGTAGACATGAAGTTTTCCAGTAAGTTTCTASTGCTTGTTCCTCCTCTTGCTGCACCTCAGCAGGTGATTTGCTCCATCAGCTTGGTGTTAGACTTGCCTTCCTTTGTACAGCCGTATGTTCAGATCATGCCCTGCTTCCAGGAGTTGTGATGAGCCACCTGAAGAAAGGTGACCTTYGAAGGAGTAATTCAGCTCCAGGGAAAGAACCTGACCGATGCCCAGGCCAACCAGAACTGTGGTGTAAAGTTGTCCTTCCTTCCYGCAGATGACACAAAGTTCTCAGAAGCCATCCAGACCTTGCTGACATGGATAGAACGTGGGGAAGTGAACAGGAGAACTGCCAACAACTTCTACTCCATGATCCAGTCGGCCAACAGCCACATCCGCAGGCTCATCAACGAGAAGGCGGCTCACGAGAAGGAGATGGAAGAAGCTAAAGAGAAGTTCAAGCTGGCTCTCTCAGGGATCCTGGTGCAGTGTGAGTAGTGTTTCCACACTGGATGTTGTCTGGTGTAGGGAAGACTYGTAATTTCCAGAGTCTGGAGAGGCCCTGCTAAAAGGGCTCTGGGAAAAGAAGTGGCAATGCTTCTGTGCAGCTATGGCTGATTTGGAATCATGTCACTAACCTGGCAAACATTCCTTGTGGTGCTTTTTACTGGAGTAAGAGTCCACATCTGGGGGGAAAAGAGATTGAATTCTGAATTTATTTCTTCTTAATTATTGTCTATTATTAGTTCTGTCATCTTTTCAACCCCTTCTGTGCACAACCAAGGTAAGTTCCTGGGAATCTGGTGCCTCAGCGAAGTGTGCAGGATTTATTCGCCAAAGGTAGGACGCAGCAGAGTGCTCCCAACACCCTGTTGCAGAATCTGGGTCTTTCAAATCCCAGCTCATTATTGAACCAGGAAATCAAGGAAGGGGCATGGAATGTATTAATTCCAGGATGTGATTTACAGCAGTTCCTCAGACATTCATTGCCTCTTACTCATCCTTGCTTTAATAAATATGAATATTTTTACTTCTATACGAGTACCTTCTACACAATTGCACTGATTGTCCTTGAACCCCTTGCCTAGCTCGTGAACATTCTTAACTTTTGGGTTTGTATCTAATAATTTTAGCTGTTACTTGGTTTTTGAATTTTTTTTCTTTAAATTCTGTTAATGGTAAAAACTACAGGCACACAGTCCAGAGGGACAAGCAATGGGTACTGCAGAGTAAGTAGTAATAGAGTGTAGTGTGTAACTCTACTCCCTGAAACAAGATTGATATCTCAGCCACTCCTAGCTTATTGTAAGGAGCAGAGAGATGTGTTTATTTTGTGAGAATTATGAGTACTGCATCACTAGCAGTAAAACAATCAGGTAGATGTGCTTTGTGATGTGTGTGAGCTCTCAGCCAAGGAGAAGCACTTTGTGCATTCCAAATCCTCTGAATTTTCTAGAGAGGCAGAAGGAATAAATCTCAGGACAAGAAAAAGCTGCTGGCTGGTGCCTTTGCTTTGATCCTGGTCTTTTTCCTGTAGCTCACAAAGGCTGTGGCACTGTCCAAGGRCCAGAACTCATGGTTGTAGCTCATCACCCCATTTCAGAGGTGAATCCTGCCCCTCTGAACTCCTTACACTCCCAGCCAGCCTCGCACAGCGTATTTGGATATTTTTCAGCACCCCTGCTGCCTTTTTTTTCACGTGTCCTGCCTTTTTCCCAGCTGAGAGCAGAGCCCATTCCCAGTTGTTCATTATCCATGAGTGTTTGGCACTGGCCTGGTGCAGCCCACAGGGACTGAGCCCCTTCCCTGAGTGTAGCGTCAGCACAGTGCAGTGTTGTGAGAAAAGGGGAGCCAAACCACCTGCCTGATTACACTTTTTTACTCCTTTACTCCTCTTGTTTGCCCTCTCTGGATGCTATTCGGGCCCGATTTGCTGCTGATTTGCTACTCCAGTCGAGCAGATAGTGGCCGTGTACCATTCTGCCTCCAAACAAAAGGCTTGGGACCATTTCACGAAAGCTCAGCGTAAGAACATCAGCGTGTGGTGCAAACAAGCAGAGGTTGGTAATCTTTTCTTGTGTTAGATCCTCCAGCACGGTCTCTTGCTTGTCAAGATGTTGATGTTCAGTTTGCACGATGCTCGCGTGGATAACAACCCCTTCCTTCACAGTGTGAGGTAGGAATCACTCAGGAGGCTCTTGTGGTACAGGTAATGAGTTTTCTCTTGGTATTTGTGTCACCAGTGGCAATACATCGAGACCTTTCTGCTGATGGAAGTTGTGCACAGTAATGTTTATAATAATGATAACAAATCCTGATTATCCTGCTGGTTTTAATATTAAAGCAAGAGGGATTTCTGGAGGGATTTTTAAAAAAAACCAACAAACTCCTAAGTGTCATTAGAATCTGTTTTACTACATTTTTATGTGATATTTTCACCTTGAGAGATGAAAATAATAACAGATGAACAAGCTCGAGGGAGGATGTTCTCATATTTGTGCATTTATCCCATGAAGTGACATAATGAAATACAGGGTTTATGAGGATGGAGCTATGGAAGAAGGCTTGTCACTCCCACTGCTCTTCCTGCAGGAGGAAGAATAGTTTTTAGTCTGATAAGATTTCATAAAATCAGATCAGGGAGTCAGGCAGAATGTCAGAAATACGGAAGCTAAGGTAAACAATGGGTGTCCATTGGAGAGTGATGGTTGGGGAGGTGTTTGTCCTAGGGACTGTGATGAAATTGGTGCTGCAGGACCTTGCACTTGGCCTTGCTGAGTCTCCTGAGATTTGATCCCACTCCTCCACCCTGTCCTGATTCCTTTGGTTGTCATTCCTTACCTCTGGTGTAAATCTTCCTGGTTTTCTGCATTTTTCTTGGATATTGAGTTCCTTACTACAAACTTGGAAAGCAAGGCCARCAAAGCCAGGAGTTGTCTTTTACCTTTAAAATTATTTAACACCCGAAGTGAATTCGGGCAAAGCTGAAAGGCGGTTGCTCCATGGTCATGAGGGTCTGGTGATCTGTGATCACCACAGCTTGGGTCTGTCTAGGCTGTGATCTCCATGGGCTGGGGGTTGTCCAGACCTCTGATCCCCATGGGCTGGGGGTTGTCCAGGCCTGTGATCCCCATGGGCTGGGGGTTGTCCAGACCTCTGATCCCCATGGGCTGGGGGTTGTCCAGACCTGTGATCCCCATGGGTTGGGGTTATCCAGCCCTGTGATCCCCATGGGTTGGGGTTGTCCAGACCTGTGATCCCCATGGGTTGGGGTTATCCAGCCCTGTGATCCCCATGGATTGGGGTTATCCAGCCCTGTGATCCCCATGGGTTGGGGGTTGTCCAGACCTGTGATCCCCATGGGTTGGGGTTATCCAGACCTGTGATCCCCATGGGCTGGGGGTTGTCCAGACCTCTGATCCCCATGGGCTGGGGGTTGTCCAGGCCTGTGATCCCCATGGGTTGGAGCGGTCCAGGCCACCTTGCCATAGAGCTGTGACCTGAGCAGAGTCTGTAGAGCTGCATCATACCCAGACAGGGTCCTGCTGGTACCCAGCAGGTGGCTGATCCTTCACCATRCTGGAACACTCTAAATGCCCATGTTGTCCTGGGAAGTTTCCAGCTGTGATCTGCCCATGAGACTGCCCTTGTGGGACTTGCCAGATCCCATTGAGTCAAACCTCTGTAGCACCTAGAAGAGGAGCCAAGGTTTTGTTTGCACTTGAGAAGCCAAGTGCAGTCTGATTCAGACTATGCCTCCACTCTGAGCCCAGTGCTTCCCTCCTTCCCTGCCTTCTGATGGCTGCCTGTGGCTGGGGTGGGAGCTCTCTCTCCAGCTGGAGCTKTCTGTTGTTCCAAGGTAAGTTCTCCTGGTGGGTAGAGGCTGTGAGACCACTGATGAGGCCTCTTTCAGGAGCACTTGCTGCCAGGCTGATGCTCTCCCCCAGCTTAGGGACTGCTTTTAAAGGAAAGTGGAGCCACAAGATGCAGCATCTTGATACAGATTTTGGCAGTTATTTATAAATMTATATACAGATACATAAAAACATTGCTAGTGTATTATATACTTTCAGGTGTAATTTAAACTGGATCTTACCTCATTGTAAATATAAGGTGCTGCCTAAAGAGTCTCTCAGACTTTTGGGGTCACCTTGAGGAGGTCCCTATACATGCAGAGGTGTGGCTATAGTTTAGTTTTCTCTCTCACAGCTCAGCTTGGGGCTTYTGGCTCCAGAGAATTTAGGGCTGAATCCAGTTCCTCTTGGTTTGCACAGGAATTGCCTCATCACAAGAGCAGAAGGGAGATGGAAGAGTCAGTAATTCCAGTAGCACTGACAGRTTGACTTGTGCTGGATATTGCCCTTGATCTAATAATCTGTGCCAATTGTAAGATCGTATCATAGCACTGTGTTTAGTAGACCTAGATTTCAGAAACTTTTCATCCACCCAAGCTGTTCGTGGAAAGCCGTGCTGAAACCTCCTCTACTTTGTGAACCCCAGGAAATCCGTAACATCCACAATGATGAACTGATGGGTATTCGGAGAGAGGAGGAGATGGAAATGTCTGATGAAGAAATAGAAGATCCATCAGAGATGAAAGAAACGGAAGAGTCAGGTAAAATCTCTTTTCACAGCTCATAAAGTGCTTCTCTTCTGTGGTTTCTTCCAGGATTCCCATTCTGAGTGTTTTGTACCCCAAAATGGTCAGAGGCAGAGCAGAATCAGGGCAGTTACCTGGAGYTGTTTGCTCTTGGTGCCTGGGTGGGCAGCCAGTGTCTTTCACTGCTCCCTGCCACAGTCGGGGGAGATAAAAGCAGTGTCTGAGCTGCTGTTTCTGTGGGATGGCTGGGATTCCTGGAGCTGGATGTGGAGGAGCTGGAAGCTCCCTGCCTGGTGCAGGGGATGCACTGGTGTAGAAGTTCACCCTGCACTGCACTATGAAGCTGCCTTGTTCCAATGCACTCCTGATGTCTGCCCTGGAATGTTCTTTTTTTTTAACCTCTTCCAGCCTAAATTCACACTGAGAGGGGCTCTTTGTCCAGAGGACCTTTTTTTCTAAAGAGATCATGGAATCATGAAATGGTTTGGGTTGGAAGGGACCTTAAAGCTCATCCCATTCCACCCCATGCCATGAGCAGGGACACCTTGCACTATCCCAGGTTGTTCCAAACCCTGTCCAGCCTGGCCTTGGACACTGCCAGGGATCCAGGGGCAGCCACAGCTTCTCTGGGCACCCTGTGCCAGGGCCTGCCCACCCTCCCAGGGAACAATTCCTGCCCAATATCCCATCCATCCCTGCCCTCTGGCACTGGGAAKCCATTCCCTGTGTCCTGTCCCTCCAGCCCTTGTCCTCAGTCCCTTTCCAGCTCTCCTGGAGCCTATTTAGACCCTGTGGCTCTGAGTTCTCCCCAGAGCCTTCTCTTCTCCAGGCTGGACACCCCCAGCTCTCCCAGCCTGGCTCCAGAGCAGAGGGGCTCCATCCCCYGGGATACCCCAAGCACTGGGAGCCATTCGTTTGGGTGTGCAGGATTTGTAGCCAGGAACTGCTGAGTCTCTGTGCATGGGAGGGGGAGAGCAAGGGACTTGTTGCCACTGGTTGTTTGACTCATGTGCTGTCCCCAGTGCTGGTGTCGCAGGTGGAGGCACTGAAGGAGGAGAACGACAGCCTGCGCTGGCAGCTGGACGCGTATCGCAATGAGGTGGAGCTGCTCAAGCAGGAGCAGGGCAAGGCCACCAGGGACGAGGACACCACCAAGGAGCAGCAGATGAAGCTCCTCCAACAGGCTCTGCAGGGCATGCAGAAGGTGAGTCTGGAATTYTCCGTAGTTGAGGCTGTGCTGCAGGGGAAAGGGGCTGGGATGGGCGGCAGAAACACATGGAAAAAGCCCCTCTGGTTTATAGCATGATCCAAACTGGCAAAGGGGAGCAACTTTGTCATTTCCAGTGTTGCTAAAAAAAAACCCAAAGCAAATATTGAAACCAGGGATTATTTAAGAGCTGATCAGTCACATGGAAGCAATCYATAGTTCATGGATTCCTTGTATGCTCTTTACTGTGACATTCAAAGTACCAAGTCTGTCCATAATCAGCTAAGGAAGTGGAATGGAATTCAATCCATTGGTGATGGAATTACTGCCCTGTACTTACACAATAGTGCTTTTTCGTATGCTAGTAGACAAAGGCATTTCTAAGGTACGCTGTAGATTCTTCTTGTTTTATACTTAATCTTATCATGGTTCTGGATTTGATCTGTCTAGCCCTCATGGAAAAGCCCTTCTTCATTTATAGTCTTCAAACAGTTGGTGAAAGGCAAGTTATAAAAACAGAGTTTATCTTTTCTCTTCCAGCACCTTTTGAAAGTCCAAGAGGAATACAAAAAGAGAGAAGCTGAGTTGGAAAAAGTGAAAGAAGACAAATTGAAAATAGAAACATTACTGGAAAATCTGAAGGAGCAGGTGCGTGCTATCCAAGGCTTCTTTGTGCAGTCTTTGGATTTTGTGGTCCATCAGGAAYGTGGTGAAGGACATCTGTCCTGCACTCTTGGTGGGAATGCTCMACCCTGATTTGGAACAGTTGTCCTTGGAAAGCGAGGAAAAATTACCTGTCATATCCCAGTGTGTCTGTCAGTAATGAACCTGCTGTTGCCTCATGTAGCTGTGAGACAATCTAAGCAATTGTATATTACAATATGACTGTCATTGGACATTGTGGAGTGGTATCACAACTGGAATGGGGTTTTCTGCAACYTGAGCTTTTAAAAGATAAGAAAAAAGTCTCAAATGTCAGACATTGATATTTCCATTTGTGGTTTAGGRACATGTTTTGATCTGGCCTCCATAAAACACTTTGGAACTGAAAGTTTTTGTGACTGCTTTAATATTTTTGTGCTTGCTGGGTTTATTCCYAACTGAAATCCATACAGAATTGCAAACTGAAATCCACCATGCTCCTTCTCAGGTGTGATCCACTCTGATTTGATTATGGATCTGAGCRTGAATCTACACTTGCCTGGTCCTTTCCTCTATTACACAGACACAATTACACAAGAAGCATGAGSCAGCACTTTCCCCCTTGGCCTACAGAGCCAGATACTGGGTTTATCTCATTTTCCTTCTTTAGTCCCACTTCTTTGTGCCATGAGCTAGGGAAGATAATAAATGCCTTTCTACTAACTAAAAATGGCTTTGTATATTCCAGTAATCATCAGAGCAGGAGCTTCAAAACAAAAATAACTGATTATCATCAGTAATCTTTCCTTTCTTTGTCCATATATAGCAGACCATGGCAGATGAAGAGAACAAGGAGGGAGATGCAGCTGATTGCCAAGGGAGTGTAAGTCCAAGAGTTTCTTTTCCTCCAGTCAGAATCTCTCACTGATGGGACAGTGACCCTTCTGTGTAAGAAGAGCAGTGGTTTATGGATTGGGGAGTGTGGGGAATGTGAGGGTGGTGCAGACACACTGTCCCCATGTACAGGGATCAGGTTTTCCATCCAGAGGGTGCTGGACACTGCCCAGGCTCCCCAGGAATGGGCACAGCCCCGGGGCTGCCAGAGCTCCAGGAGTGTTTGGACAGCACTGCCAGGGATGCACAGGGGGGGGATTGTTGGGGGGTCTGTGCAGGAGCTAGGCTGGATGATTCTGGTGGGTCTTTCCAGCTTAAGAGATTCTGATTCTATATAAATCAAAGTCATCAATTTACATCATCAGAGCTGGATGAAATGAAAGTATTTGCATTGCTGAGRTGTAGAAATGGAGTTTGGTGTGCAGGATCTTTTGTTGCAAAATTATTTCCATTTAGTCTTCAAAAATAGGAGCTGGATCTGGGGTTTTTCAGCATGAAGAAGAGATGGCTTCGAGGAGACCTCAGTGGTGCCTTCCATCGCCTAAAGGGGGCTTATAAAAAAGAGAAAAATKGACTTTTTATACAATTGGATAGTGACAGAACAAAGGGSAATGGGTTCCCACTGCCAGAGGGCCCAGTTAGATGGGATATGGAGAGGAAATGTTTCCCTGTGAGGGTGGGGAGGCCCTGGCATAGGGTACACGAAGAAGCTATGGCTGCCCCTGGAGCCCTGGAGGTGTCCATGGTCAGACTGAATGGGTCTTGGAACAACCTGGGATAGTGGAACGKGTCCCTTCCCATGGCAGTGGGGTGGAACAGGGTGAGTTTTAAGGTCCTTCCCAATMCAACCCAATCTATTGCATGATTCCATGATCTCCAGGAGAAGGCAGGCTGTGGGTTTGCAGTGCAGCTGCTGGGTTGCAGTCCCTGAATCAGCTTCCGCAGGGCAGAGCTGCTTTTTCTCCTCTGGAATCAAATGTGGGAGCTGAGGCCATCTGGGCACAGCCTCAGCCCTGGAGAGCTGAGAACTGCACTGGTGTAAGAATTTGAGCAAACCCAGGGGACCATTCAGTTCTATCTTCGTCACTGGCTTCCCTCCAGCCCATCTCACTGGTGAGTGGAAGCTGTTCCCAATTATAGCTGTCCACAGCTCTCAGGCCACTGGAATTCCGCATCAAACTCAGAGATAAAAGCAAATCCTGCTTTTAGAGCACCCACCATCTTTGCATTATTATGTTTATGTCAGGGATAGTAAATGATGCCAGCTCTGTTTTAATTCAGTACCACAAACTCAAGTCAGGGACAGTCTGATCCTAAACCCTGTGCAGCCCCATGGCACTWGATTAATCACATTTGTCTCAGTTTGGGCATTTGTAAAATAAACCTCTGCAGCTGAATTAGTCATGGCAAGGCCACAGTCTGGTTTGTGTTTTGTTATTTAAAGCAAGGCCCTTCTGGAGCAGATGTCATGTCAGAGAACAGGGTTGGTGCAGGGTGTGTGGTGGCACCTGCTGAACTTGGTGGGCTTTTCACCTCACTTGGTGGATCACACTCAGCAGCACAGACACAGCTGTGCTTCTTTGGGAGCATTTTGGRAAACAAATGTAGATACAGCAGTGATGGATGCAGTGTCTCAGAAAACCAGGAAAACACCAAAACTCTGTCAAGCCTGCCCAAGCCAGTGCCTGGTGTGTCAGGGTATCTGGAATGTGCCCTGTGGGTTTGTTTTCCAGGAGAGCAGCACGTCCAGAGTTTGTGCCTGCAGCCAGGAGAAGGAATGTCCAATGGAGAAGATGTTGAGCAACTGCCCTGTGAAATCTGAACGAGAAGTTCTCTTGGTTGGTGAGTTCTGCTGGGCTTGGTGGTGCTGCCAGAGTCCTGAGCTGGGGGGACCTGCTGCAAGGTGACCTTGCACTCCTCCAGTCCACCTCTGCTTCCTTTGGGTATCCTGAGCAAGGTGGGAGTCCTGGAACTGAGAAAAACCTTGAGCTGTGCTGGGTCAGGGTGGAACCTTGTGACACCTGGCTGCTGGCAGTGGCACAGGGCTGGTGATCCCAGCTGGCTCTTGCCTTGTGACAATGACCTTTGTGGTATTCCTTTCCCCAGGGATAATCTCAACGTTTCTCCACGTGCATCCATTTGGAGCCAGCATTGAGTACATCTGCTCCTACCTGCAGCGTCTGGACAGCAAGGTGGGTGTAGGGGCAGGTGGCTGTAGGGACGGGTGGCTGTAGGGACAGGTGGCTGTAGGGGAGGTGAATGTAGGGACAGGTGGGGCTGGACAGCAAGGCCTGGGCTCTGCTCTCTGCAGAAATCTGTTGGAACAGGGTGAGAGAAGGGGTGAACTGTTTTGGATCACAGAATGGTTTGGGTTGAGGGACTTTGAAGCCCATCCAGTTCCATGCCCTATCATGGGCAGGGACACCTTCCACTATCCCAGGTTGCCCAAAGCAGCCCACCTTTGGGGTCTTCCACTCACCATGTCCCCAAGTGCCACATCCACACAGCTTTTAAATACTCTAGGGATKGGGATTCCATCACTGCCCTGGCCAGGGAAACACCTCCATCTCAAATGCTTTTTGGTTTACTCTGTTGAAGTTTGCTGCCCTGGAGCAGTTTCACTTTGTTCTCCTTATCACTGTGACCTCCAAGGAGAAGAGCAAACAACGGCCTTGTGCACTGGACATCTCCCACCCTCTGCCCTGTTTGTGTATGTTCTCTCTAACTGAGCAGTCACGTGGTGTTTGTGTCTCTGAGCAAATGTTTTTGGGTCTGTTTGCTCCTGTCACCCTTCCCTGAGCCTGCTCTGTTCTGATACTGGAAGTGGGGTGGTTTTTAGGAGGTGTCTATTCCMGTAGTAGAAGCACTGGAACTTTGGGGGTCTGTGGGAAGGGAAGGGTGGAGCCCTAGATGTAGGGGTCACCAAAGGCAGTGACAGGCTATGTTCCTGGATTTCCTTGGCACAATATGGAGCTCCTGTGTCCTGCTGGCTTCGCTCTCCTTCTTGGAGTAAACTGGAACAAACGTGATGGAAGGAATTACATCTCATTCTCTTCTATCCTCTTSTCCAGTTGTCTTTCTTAAAGAGCCYCAGGAGCAGGAGGCCCCATCAGCATCGGAATCCTCTTTTGGGATTGGAACTTTTCCAGCTGCTTRTGTTTATAACTCAGTGTTTCATTTACCCTTTCCTAGGAAAACACGACTCCCTGGCCTGGCTCACTCCAGCCTTATAAAGACGGAGTTAATGATTTATCTCCTCATTATAGCTTGGAATTTGTCTGTGGGGCCAGCAGCTGCTTTTATTTTGGTTTGGAGCTCCTATAAAACTGCCATCATAGCATTCAACTGCCTTCTGGAACTTCCTCTTTGGTGTCCACAGTGCAGAGAGGGGCTCCTGGAAGCTTCTGCAGTCAGCTTGGGAGAGTCCCTGTACAGACCCCACCCTTCAACGWGCGCTATGGCATCAGGGCACTCACACTCAGGGCTACTCCCATTGTCCTCTGTGTTCCTTCTGAGCTCTTCTGTCTCCTCTACTCTTGCAGGAGTTCAGATTAGTTCGGGATACACCTGAGCAGATCTCTGAGGCAGGAGGGGGGAGAGTACTTGAAGGTACAACCTGGTTTCTTGAAGCTGTCAGCAGGAAAGGAAGGGGAATATCTTTCCACTGTTCCCTGCCCATCAGTCTCGCCAAGAAGGTCAGCAGAGAGTGTAGAAATTAAGATCCAAGGTGGTTTGGAGTCATGAAAGAGCCCTTCAGAAGTTGTCTGTAGCCCTGAGTGTGGCTTGGCAGGGCCTTGGGCTGACAGACTCACCTCACCTGAGGCTCCTGCTCTGCAGTGATGCAACCCCAGTGTTGGCTCTTGGCTCTGTTGGAGCAATTGTTGCCCTATCAGGGGAGTGAGAGTTAAACTAAAATAGGGTAAAAGTGCTCCCTGTTCAGTGACTTAAGTACTTGGGAGGTTTAAATCTATTGCCTTGCATTCCACAGGGGAGAACATTCAGCCAGTCCCTTTACCTTGACTTGCAGTGTTTATCCCAAAGCCTGACAGCACCACAGCTCCCTTTGTCCCAGCGTTATCCCCATGGGTGCAGGGACAGCCTGGATGAACTTCAGCAATTAAACTGTCTGAGTTTGAATTATCACCAGCCATCAGGGGTTCCATCTTCACTTTTGGTCTTGTTTCCCTTGTGTTCYCACAGATCTGCACAGCAGAGGTGGAAGTTCTCATGACGCGACTCCAGAACACATTCCGGCAGGAGCTGAGYGGGGTCGGGGCCAGCCTGGAGAAGAGATGGAAGTTTTGTGGCTTTGATGGGTTGAAAATGACTTGAGCTTTGACTTAATGCTGGAAACAGTGGGATATGGATGCTGGGAAAACCTGGGATGCTCTTCCCTCTGTTCCTGAGGTACCACGGCATTGGGATGCAAAGTATAAGTGAAGCCAAGTCCAGAGCGGCACTGGAAGAACCTTCAAGTTCTGCAGCTCCTTTGATCAGTTATTTGTTAATGGGCAAGTTCTGTTCAATATATTTGGGGAAAAAAGCTCCTGCCTGACCCTTTGAAGCACAGCGTGTCGACTCCATGTTCTGCCAGTGTTGTATGTGCTTGTGTGCCCAAATTCCTCCTCCTCAACCTTCCTTCTGGTAGGAACAGCCATAGACTGTCCTGAAGCAACCTCARAAAGGCATCTTATGGTTTCCAGATCACCAAAAGGGGGAAAAATGCGCATTTTTTTTGATATTTCTATGAGTAAAAACCAAGTTATGTTTAAGAAGATTTAGATGGCTCAGGAGCCTCTGAGCCCAGGAATTGGTTCTTTTTTGTGCTATTTTCTCTATTAGTAGTTAAGCAGAGGTGGGGTCAGAGGGGGATTCTGGCAGTGCCCCTCGTGCTCTGGGTAAGTAGTTACAGAATCTTTTACATAGCAAGGGTGTTTAATTTTCTGGGGGTGTGGGTGCAGCAGAGCTATATCGGCCTGGATTTTGGTGATTTTTTTTACCACCCAGTTCCTCCACCTGCTTTGCTTTGGACACTAAGCTCAAGCAGCACAGAGTCCTCTGCTCCTGAACGTTCCCAGCACTGTTCCTCATGTTCCCCATGCATCCCCAGCTCTGCAGAGGTGCAGGGTAGCGCAGCTCAGCCCATTGATCCAGCCAGCCCAGAATCCCTCGTGGATCCTGCTGTCCCCCAGCAGACCCTTATTCCTGCCCAGCAGGGTCAGCTGCAGAGTTGCAGCCACCCTGTGCAGGATTCCCCTTCTCCCAGACAGCGCCTGTGTTCCCAGAATGGAGCTGTCACAGTTTTGCAGCTGCACTCTTCCAGCCCCTCCTGTTTGTTCTCCACACCCCAGGCATTGGTGCCCCTCACTTGGGCTATTGATCCCGCCTCATTTTTGGGGGAGAAGTCCCAATTCCTGCATTTCTGTTCTCAGGCATTTCCCTCATTCGTGACACATCCCCAGCCCTTGTATCGTTCTGCCAGGTGGTTCTCCRTGGTGCCATGGCTGAGGTGGTGCCTGGGGGATACAGGAACATTTCTGGTGTGTTCCATGTACCTGGCACAGACACCTGGTGTTGTGTGAACCAGTCCCATATCCAAAACACCAAAATTCTGGTGATACCAGGCTTGGAGGCAGCTATTGACCTGCTGGCTCTGCCTGTTTCTCCCCGACCATTCCCTGCAGCTGGAAGGGTGGAGGAGCACACTCCCTGTGCTCCWGCTCCCTTCACCAGTCATCCCAAGGCCCTGAGGTCTCTCTGGATCACTTGGATTTCTTCGTGCAGCCTCGAGGAACCATCCTCCTCCTTGTTGCTCCCACTGGCAAGAGCCTGGCATCAGTTGTCTGTGGGCATTGGGGAAACCGGGGCGGTCACAGGAGACCTGGCACCTGCAGTGCCAGGTGGGAATGTGGCACCTGTGTCCTGTCCCTGCAGGTCAGCCAAGTGGGGAGAGGGCAGGGTGGTGTGTTCTCAGYGAGACCTCTCMTTGGGAAAATCAGGGAGGAAAAGCCAGAAATGAGGAGWGTTCCAGAGGCCCAAGAGCAGCCGTGGCTGGAGCACTCTGGAGGCAGGGAAGAGTGGGATGAGTGGGGACAGGGGATGGGCTTCCCAGCGTGGGAGCTCCCGCAGCACAAGGACTTGCTGGGTCCCAGCCTCTGGTGGCTGTGGGATGGGAACTGGGATGGGACTGGGGCTCCTCCTGGGGGACTGAGGGGGCTGGGGCTGTTGGAGACAGTGGGCAGGTTGTTCTGTGGGGCAGCAGGAGGGRGAGCAGCCAGGAGCTGCGGGGTGAAGGCTGGTGCTGTGAAAGGGASTCAGGGCTGGGGCACACTGGGATCCTTCTGCTTCCCCTCATTCGGCCTTCCCTTCCAGGGCCTTTATAAMGGGGCTGATGTTTCTCACAGCAGAATTCCATCCTGCAGATGGGCTGCTGAGGTGACACCCAGGGATGGTGACAGACCTTCCCTTGGGACGGTGCTGCTCCTACATGGGCTGGTGTTCTGTGCTCTCAACACCTAGTGCTTGCCATGCTGGGAGAAGATAWAAACCCTTTGAAAAAATGTTCAGAATAGTTGTGTCCCTACAGATGAACACTGTATTTTTAAGGATTAAACTTTTTTATGGGCAAATCTTGGCTCTGCTGCTTTCTTTGTCTTCGTTGCATGCCAGGGGAGGGGAGAGGCTCCATTCCAGCTCCTTGACTGTGCTCCTTCCCAGGTTCTCTTCATGCTCCATCCCCAGCACTCCACCTTCCTTGTGAATATCAAGAGTGCTCACAATTGCCTGGCCTGGATGCTCCCTGCTTCCTCTGCAGCCTCTCTCGTGCCTCCATCTCAGGCTGTGAATCCCTGGTCCGTGCCCTCCTCCCTCCTATTGAACAGCTGGAGTTCACAGGTTGTGGCAGTGCTGGGGTGGATGTGGCCCAGCAGCACCAGTTTGTACTGGTGGTGAGGATGGGCAGGGAGATGATGCACAGGAAGAAGAACTGAGCAGCCCCGTGGGGCTCTGTTCTGTGTTTGGGAGGAAGCCTTAGGGAGACTGGGGCCTTTAAATGGAGCTACTGTGGGGAAGGGAGTTGAGTGGGATGGTGGCTGCTGGACTGGGACAGGCAGAGATCCCTGGAGCAGAATGGGGTCCCAAATCAGCAGGARCTGTTGAGGTTAAAGGGGAGCCTGTGCGTAACCCAGGCCCTCCTGGGAAAAGATGCTCTGGAGATAAAGAGCAGGCACAGGGTGCCCAGAGAAGCTGTGGCTGCCCCTGGATCCCTGGCAGTGTCCAAGGCCAGGCTGGACATTGGGGCTGGGAGCAGCCTGGGACAGTGGGAGGTGTCCCTGCCATGGCAGGGGTGGCACTGGATGAGCTTTAAGATCCTTCCAACCCAAACCCTTCCATGATCATTACCATGTCATGGGTCAGGAGTCTCCCTGTGGCCCCCAAAGGGCTGATGGGTGTGTTAATGGGCAAAGAGGTGCCAGTTTTGGTGTTAGTGGGGGTTTGGGAGACTCTGCAAGGTCTGTAACCCTGTGAGCTGTAGATCCATCCCATCAGGTCTGTGAGCTCCTCAACACTAGAGCTCTGCAGGCCCCTGGATGTGGGGACCGCCCCTGTGCCCAGCCTGTTCCAGACCCCGCTGGACACCATCGCTGTGAAGGTGCCGTGAAGGAGCAGCACGGAGAGCTGAGGTGCAAACTACCCACTGGCCCTCATCAGCCAGCCCAGGCAGCACGTTCCCTGCTCAGGTTTCATCTGCCAGCACAGCTGATGCTTCAGCCTGTCCTGGTCACCCACGGCTGGGAGCGGGGACAGCTCAGGATGGAGGGGATTGAGCAATGGCTGATCCGTGCCAAGGCTCAGTGTCTGGCGTGGGAAGCGCAGTTCCTCCATCCAGCCCTGCCCTCTCTCYACGCTGTTTCTGGCTCTCGTTTCTTTTGGCAGAAAATTCACATTCTCATGCCTTCTCTCCTCCCCTCGGCGGCTTTGCTCTATCACTTCCCCACTTCTCCTCCCGTCTGTGGGCTGGGAAGGGCCCCAGAGCCCTCGTGGAGATGCTGCTGTGAAAACCATTGTCCCAAAGGAAGAGCCGGGAGCTCCAGGAGCTGCTGCGAGGGCACGGGAAAGGTAAATGTGTGTCCTTTGTTCCTGCTRGGAGGAGAGAAAGTGCTGCTGCAACTGGTGGAGCAGCTGCTGCTCCTTGGGAAGGGAAGGGGCAGCTGGGTTGAGCTTTGCCYGTGAGATTTCCTGAAATGAGCACCAGTCCTGTTTGTGAGTTAGTGAGATTCCTGCTCTGGCATCCCCCTCCAAAGGAGGATTTGTGGGGCTCTGTCTGTGCCCCTGCTGTGGAATGGTGTTTCCCTCTTGTGCTGAGCGAGCTCTCCTGTCCCCCAGGGCTCTGCAGGGACACCCATCCCCATTTCCTCCAGGGACACCTTGGAGTGGTGGACACCCACCTTGCTGCTCTGGGTTGGAGGTGCTGGTCCCCATCTCACCCATTTCCAGGGACATAAATCCAGCCCTGGGGTGGAAAGCAGGGGAAGGTGTTTGGAGTTGATCCTGAAGGATGAGCTTTGGGAAGACCAGCAGTGGTGGCACATCACAGGGTTCTGCGAGTGGTGCCTGCAGGCAGGCAGATAAGCAGCAGCTCAGCCGGGCTGCTCCTTCCTGCCTTCTCCTTCCTGCCCTCCCTCTGCTGCTCCCTCTTCTAACCAGAATTCCTCCTCCTCCTCACCCCATGGCAGCCACATCCCCCAGGACTCCGCTCAGGCAGGGGCTGTGGCTGTGGGCTCTACCCGAGTGTGGAGCTTCACTTTCAAAAGGTAATTCCCTGCAGT